GTATGACATCGCATCAACGTCCCTTGCCACGCAGCGCGCTCCAATTCATCAAGGCTGCTGAGTGAGCGTCATAAGTGACATAATTTTCTTAAATTGTATTTTGACCAATAGTTTTCGAATTTTCTTTTAAAAATACTATAAAACCCAAATTTTCACATTTTTTTCCAAAATTATTTTCAATTTCATCTTCCCATTAATTTTCTTCATTTTTACATTAAATAAAAATAAAAAATTAAATTAAAATAAAAAATTATGTTTATATATTAATTTTAATTACATTAATATTAATTAATCAAGGGTATTGTAACTCTCCCCTCTTAGAAGAAATTTGGTCCCTCAAATTTGTTTATTTCTCACTCAATCAAACAGTCGAGGATATTAGACTTTGAAATCTGATTCTACCTCCCATGTGGCCTCTCCCGGTGTGTGATTATGCTATAAGACCTTAACAAAGAGAATTTTTTAGCTGTGGAGTACTCTACTCTTTCGGTCCACAATACCGACCGGTACTTTCTCATAGAACAGATCATTTAAGAGTGAAAGGAGCTTGTGGGCCAAGATGTGAGAAAAGTTTGGGTTGTACTTGCGTAGCATAGACACGTGGAACATATTATGAACCCTGGATAGTTCTGGAAACAGTGTTAGTCTGTAGGTGGCGGTGCCAATTCTATTTAAGATTTCAAATCGTCCAATAAACTGGAAGATTTAGCTTCTCCCTCTTGCTAAATCTACGGATTCTCTTGAAAGGAGTGGCCTTAAAGAATACCTTATCGCCTTTCTCAAATTTCAAATCTATCATTCAGGTGTCTGCATAACTCTTCTGCCAGCTCTGAGCCGTCTGGTTGTTCTTCTTAATCTTAACTATTTTTGCTATAGTCTCCTCTACGAGATCTGAGCCGAACAGTTTCCTTCACCCACTTCTTTTCAACATATCGGCGATCTGCATGGACGACCATACAACGTCTCATACGGAGCCATGTCAATACTTTCTTAGTAGTTGTTATTGTAGGCGAACTCTATCAGGGGTAGATGGTCATCCCAATGGCCTCTAAAGTCAAGAACACAAGCTCGGAGCATATCCTCAAGTGTGCAGATCGTCCTTTCTGACTGTCAATCGGTATGAGGGTGGAATGAAGTACTAAGGGACAGTTTCGTTCCCATGTCTTGTTGAAAGCTAGACTAGAACTAAGAAATAAACCTGGGGTCCATGTCAGATACTACTGTCACTAGTACTCCATGTAATCTGACTATTTTTCGGATATATATTCTTGCTAACTTATCCAATGGGTCGGTCATCCTGATGGCCAAGTAGTGGAAAGACTTAGTAAGTCGGTCAACAATGACCCAAATGACATCATGTCCTGAACATGCTCTAGGCAATCCTGTCATGAAATCGATTGTGATATGTTCTCACTTCTACTCCGAAATTGGCAATGACTGAAGTAGCCCGTCTGGGCGTTGATGTTTTGCCTTGACCTGCTGACATACCAAACACTTAGAAACAAAATCAACCACATCTCTTTTTATCCCGTTCTACCAAAATCAGGGTCACATACTTTGATATATCTTGGTGCTTTTGGAATGCATGACAAACTTTGAGATATAGGCCTTTGTCATGATGTCCATTTTCAACTCACTGTAACCTTGAACACACACCCTATCTTGAAATATAAGCAACCCATCGATAGAGACTCGAA